TGAGGTATCCTAAGAAAACTAGAGGATACTAATTTATCTTCCCGAGGAATAAAAAAAATCACTATTTCCAGACAAGCAAAATTCCTAGTATAAGACTTGGTCTTTAAGGAATGTAATCGTGGGAGGATAGAACTTGATGAAGTTCAAGAATCACAAAATAACATAAAGGATGAAGACTTGTTAGATGGTCAAAACAAAGATTCAGTGGGAGAAATGAGTGGAAGCATGTCTCTAGGAGGATGTCTTTCAGCTAGTGGGAGTAACATAGGAATCATCTCGCACAAGCAAGTGATTCTTATTAAAGAAAGAGATGACATGGTTGTCATTCCTTCTGCATTCACTTCTCTTTCTCTGAAAACACTTAAAAGTGTAGCACTAGAAAACTCTATGAGCATTGGATAGTCCAATGAAAGAGAACCTCTTCACGATTAGAATGAACAGCCTGAACAAAACGCAAAACATTCAACTCTGTGGGTCTACTAGGATTTGTCATGAACTAACTAGTTTTGATTTCCTCATGGAGGATCATGATGATGTTGAAATTCTTGATAAGGATGAACCTAAGACCTACACTAAAGCAATATTAGATGTGGATTTAGAGAGGTAGAGAGATGCCATGAAATCTAAAATGGACTTGATGTATATCAATCAAGTATGGAACTTGGTTGACTTGCCTGTTGGGTTAGACCCATTGGATGCAAAAGATTTTCAAGAAGAAAATTGATGATGAAGGTAAGGTGCAAACATACAAAGCTAGGCTAGTGGCTAAAGGTTATAGTCAAAGAGAAGGAATTGACTATAGTGATACCTATTCGCCAGTTGCAAAACTCAAGTCCATTCGGATTTTGCTTGTGATAGGTGCATACTATGATTATGAGATTTGACAAATGGATGTCAAAACCCATTTCCTTAATGGAAACCTCTAGGAGGAGGTGTACATGGTACAACCTGAAGGTTTTTGCATCCAAGTCAAATTCTAAATCATTATGTTAATTAGAGAAATCTATTTATGGGCTAAAACAAGCGTCTAGGAGTTGAAATATTAATTTTGATGAAATAGTCAAATCGGTTGACCTCATCAAATGAAATGAGGGTGCTTGCGTGTTTAGAGTGCGCAACAAGATAATGTGGTCTTTATAATCATATATGTTGATCATAGAGAATGATATCCCCTCATTGAAGTCCGTGAAAGAATGGTTACCCAAAATCTTCATGAATATCTTTTTGTTTATGGTAGACAAAAAGGAACTAGTAGAATTTAATTATTCTAGCACTAGTTTCATGTATGATAAGAAAGACTACGAGTCGCAGTCAGTATATGTTTTTAGTCTCAATGTAATAGTAGTGCTGAAAGAGTTACAAGTAAGAAACTACTATAAATTCGACAACTAGAGCCTAGTAAATTGTTGCATTCGATGCAACTTAGGTAAGCGTTTAGATATGTTAGTTCCTTAAAGAAATAGGGGTAGTTCCTAGCAACAGTTATCCAATAATTGTTATTGTGACTGTACCGATGCGTTTGCACAAGATAAGGAACCAAGATGCAAAGTAAGGAACTAGAAAATACCTATGTGCTATCATGTTTTTGATAACAAATAGCAAGAGGAGAAGTTGCAATAGAATGTCTTCCCATAGAGGACAATTTGGCTGGTCCATTCACCAAACCTTTGAGATGCGAGAAACATACTGGACTTTTGAGAGTCTGGGTGTTAGACGCATCGGTGATTGGCACTAGGCCAAGTGGGAGATTGTTAGTATATATGTCCTAGCGACAATCACTTTTTAGAGATATATACTTGATCACATTTAGTTTTATATATTTGATATATACGGTATTACACATTGATGATTAAGTATTTCGATTGTCAATATCTTATTCATAATTGTGTTCCCTTGAATTTATGTTGTCAATAAGTAAGTGGGAGCTTATATGATATAACATAAGGTCCAAAAATAGCCCCAATCAATGATCATCAAGAAAGGGATATTGATGATATGCGATAAGATTGGTATGTGGACTGCATCATACTTTTAGAAAGTATAGTTGATCTCACAACTATGAGTTCCTGTAATTCATGATGGTCACATAGATATTTTAGAGAATATTGGCATACCCACCGAGAAACCATTTGATAAGTTCTATTCATGTGTCTATGGAATTATCGGCGTATAGAGTAGTGTAATAGTCCTCCGACTTGAGGTCAATACGTACTACATGTGCGGAGTGATGTACTTTGACCATGACCAACGCTTGCACTCCAGTCGGGGTAGATACGGCATGCGTTGGGTGCATCACAAAGCACATGGAGTAGTAGTTGAGCCAAGAAAGGATTCATTCCTCGTAATAGATTAAGAGAGAACATTCTACTTCTCATATCTAGATGGATCATAAAGTCATTGGCCAATGCAAAGATATATTCGTTTTGGATATCGAATATGATCGTTATGGATCATCTAGAAAGATTGAGAGATAGAGACTAAGTTGTTGGAATAGACACAATATCAAGTTCCAGACTTAGTTGAATGTTCGTTGAATGAAAGGACCGTATCACTATGAGCTCTATACTACAGAGAGTTTGAATAGTCCTCACAAACGTCCTTATATATTAAGTTTGTCTGGTAAATTGTCTAGGGATTCTATTAAGACCTTAATTTGATTAGTGCTTAATATATAAGGCCCTACGGGTCACACAACAAGTGATTATACCTTCCGATTGAATTGTTAGAAGGAATTAAATATTATTAATTGGATTAAATAATATTTAATTCATAATGGTGAAAATGTGATGAGTTAATTATTAATTAGATTAATATATTTAATTCATCATGTTGAAGGAAAGTTCTATTTGATAGAATTAATTAAGTTTGATAAATTAGATTTATTATACTTAATTAAGATGTAATTTTAATTAAATAAAGTTGGTATTTTCTTTTATAATTTAGAATTAAAAGAAAATAGAAAATGAAATAAATAATAATAATAACAAGCAAAGTGACGTGCAGCCACTTTGATATTATTATTAGTTTATTTTGTTTTACTTATTTAATTAATAAAATCGTTAATGATAAGTATTGGTCCTGGTAGGACTAGAACTCATTATTGAGAAAGACTTTCATTGTGATTGGGAAACTAGTTTAGAACTAGTATAAATACATCCTTCTCCTTCATAATTGATAGACCAGTTTTCTAGATTAGTATTACTTGTTTATTTCCCTGCGAAGAGATTTACTAGCCTTTCTCTAAGGGAGATCTAACCGTTCTTTCGGAGAGGAGAAATCACGTGGATACCTAAGGTCAAGGATTATCACCGCTAGGCTGGAAGATCTGTAAGTTCTAACTCAGATCTGACATTATTGCTATATTCGTTGTTTTGTCATAATCAGGGAAGATCTGTTTGGAAAATTTTAAACTTCCGCTGCTGTACTTTCGAGGTACGTTACATCAATTTCTTAACACCAGCATCCCCCATCCGAACGTTACCCCGGCCAATTCGCCTTCCGTGTGTGGGACCGCCCCTCCCACGATGAGGGCGTGGGGGACGATGAGCGGTGAGAGGATCAACATCTGCAGCTTCATATGTGATGATGTCATGATCAATCGCTTCTTCTGCACCAAGTCATGTAAGACACTCTACACCGTGTGCAATGATGTCATCCGGATCATATCTGACTCGTAATCGGCGAATTATCTCACCCAAACATTGAATCTAAAATATGCATCAGTTTTTATAATTTGTTTCAAATTATTTATTAATAGAATTACGAATTAAAACGAATAGTTACCGCAATAGCCGCTTGTGGGTGAGCAGGAACGAATCCCTGAGTAGGACGATCAACACACGGGTTTGTGAGCCATCGTTTTCCTACATTACGGTACCACTCGCGGTACTCATCACTAATGAAAGGACCTTCCTCAACCCACTGAAGTGGGAATATTTTGTTCCACCGTAATGCCCATTCTTCAACAAGCTCGACCATGAATCGTGATCCACTATTGTGGTGACGATGCCCTGCCACAACCGGAGCAGGTCGATCCTGATATGCGTTGAATTGACGACAAAACCTCCTAGGATAGTGTGCCTCAGAAAAACGTGTATAAATCAGTGGAACCTCCGCAGCCCACAAATCGTTCGCATCATGACAATATGCTGGAAGGTTCATCAACGGATAGGGGATCCATTCGAACTGAAAAATATCTCCCAATTAGTAAGCACACATAGTTATTTATATCATTTAATTTATTGAATTTGAATGTAACAAATTAAAAATCATGTAAAATTGAATTGTACAAGTAACAAATTATACCTCATCTTCCGTCATCCGATCTAGTTGGTCCCTATATACCCGTAATGAAAATCTGTTTGTTTGGTGCCAATCATGTTGACACGCCCACCTAGATTTAGTATCCATGAACAATAATATAAATAAATAAATAGCGTAGATTAAAAGCATAAATAGCATCTTGTAATACAATAATCAAAGTAACATAGATAGTGTATTGTTTATTTAAACAATACCTAACAGCATACGGAAAATCCAATATATGGTCAAGTGGGAGATGACGTTGGGGCGGAACCATCGGCAATCTCTCCCATGCCCAGATTTGTAGAAGGATTAAACATCCTCCAATCTGTTTAGCCTGGGCCTTGGCCGCCTTACACATGGTGTGATACAGATAGGCCAAGACCGTTGAGCCCCAGCTCCATCGGCGCACATCTACTAAGTTCCCCTGCAACAACTCCAAGAAATACCAACTAGCCATGTTTCCACTAGTGGTAGGGAATAATGAACCACCTAACAACTGCCAAATGAGAGCCCTAGTGTGTTGAGTCACCTCATTTTCATTGCTCCAATCGGTTAATGGAATGGGGTGGATATTCGTTACTTTTATGGTAGCTGAATTTAAATCATCATCTTCTGGTATAAAACCAACAGACTGTGCACACATCTGCAACAACGCTGCCTTATCAGTAATCGTGGGACCAGTGAGTGGTACGTCGTCAATGGGCAACCCCAACAACACTTGCACATCCTGTAAAGTCAATCCTACCTCACCAAAGGGCAAATGAAATGCGTGTACCTCGGGTCTCCACCTCTCCACTAACGCAGTCAGAAGTGACCAATCTAACTGCACTTGTCCTATTCTCTCGACACCGTGAAACCCAGATGCTCTCAACAACCGTACCACCCCAGGATGACGCGGACCATCATCAACATAGGCACATGACGAATAGTGATGGCACCTCAGTTTGTCATCTCGAAATGCTGATTCGTGCCACACACGATCGGCACGATGCTCACCGGGTATCATAACTAAAACAGAACGATCCCGAGGGCCAGGGTGTGCAACTCGTTCAGCCATTACAACCTACAATTAATACGTAAACAAATACTAAATTTTTTATCATGTTTTTAATTTAGTGTTAATAAATGTGTTCAATAATATTATGTAGTTTAAAAGTTCTACAATTATTACTACTAATGGATATGAAGTAAGTAAATATGAAAAAGTTCTACAATTATTACTACTAATGGAATAATAAGAACAGATAATATTAATCTTCTTTTTGTAATAATAATAATAATAATAATAATAATAATAATAATAATAATAAACTCTAACCTTTGAACAAGAAGCCTTGTTTGTTTTGTTGGTGTGAAAGTGTGGGAGGAGGATAGGAGATGTTGGTGGGTGTGAAAGTGTGGAGGAGGAGCAGTATTTATGCCGAAAATGTTATCACGGTAGAATCCGACAGACCAATGAAAACGCTCGGAAATCCTATCTTCTGCATTCGGAGTTGTCAGCTCCGAAAATGGCTGACATTTTCTGACGCCAACGCTTTCGGAGTTGTCAGATCCGTAAAGCTTTAAAGCTGTTGTCGACCACTTCAAATTCGGAGTACTGAACTCCGTTTTACTCTTTTTCGTCAAAAAAAATACATCAACGCGATTCGGAAACACCTGCTCAAATTCTACTCTGTTCCGTCATTTCCTCGTTTTTTTATTCATATTTTCTCCACTTTTGAAAACTACAATCTCTTATTGTCTTAATCAATTTTTCTTCTTTGTTGTTTCCATCTTCGATCTTACTTTCTGTACTTACTTCCTCGTCTTTATTATTTGCTTCCGTTTGTTCTTGCGCATGTTTAGGTTTTTGCATTTGTTTTGGTCCACTGAAGGTGTAAGTAAGTAATTGTTCTTAGGTTATTTTCTTCTCTTGTTGGAACAAAATCATTTTCTTCATTCAGTTCAAATGTTTTATGTTGCAACATTTTTTTATCCAAGAATTGATGCTATGTCTAGTTGTGGAGGTAATTTTTCAAATAACATGTTCATTATATTTGAATTCTTTTGATGAGTATTATTGTACTTATCAATGATCATCTGTTTTGTTTTTTTGAATTGGTATCCCCTGTATAGATGATATCTCTTGCAGTGGCAAATTAATAGAGAATATTGAGGCCAGAGACGAACTTTTTGAAGTTGATTGCAGTAATATTTTCTCTCCTTACAAGTCACGTATTGTTGTTGTTTTGTCTGTGTTGTTTTCTTTGAGCTATTTGTTATTTATTTGTACATTTTTTATGAATTCAGATTACTTGGAATCTAGTGATACCTTAAGTGAAGACTTTTTGTCTAGAACTGAATTTGTTCCTATGTTACCAAGTATTGTGCTTTCTTACATTTTATCACTTCGTTATGTTTTTTTTTGTATTCAAATTTTAATTTTTTTTGGCAGTTCAAAATTCTTCTACTTTTGTTCATGTAGACCAATCTGATGAGCCTTTGTCTGTTGAAACTATATTAGTTAAGGAAGCTGAAATTTCTGAGCTATTGGGTAAAACAGTTTTTTAGAAAAATAGACATTTGAACTATATAATGACTACGCTTATAGAATTGGATTTGGTGTTCGTTATTCTACTTTGAGAAAGAGAGGTGGTGGTTCTGGCTTTAGGGGAAGGGAATTTTGTTGTACGAAACAATGTCTAAAAAGGAATAACGGTGTTGTAGGTAAACAATATACAAAAGTTGATAGGTGAACTGGTTGCAAGGCAAAAATATATTTTGAGATAAAGCCTACTGGTGAGTTTGTTGTTGTTAGGCATGACATGGTTCATAGTCACAATTTTTTCTCGAGTTCTTTAGTTCAGCATGTTAGGTCTCATCGTGCTGTTTTGTCAAGTGAGTTAGAGTATTTGCAACATTTGAAAAATAAAGGAATTAAGGTAGCAGATGGTTTTCGTTGCTGACAAGCAGAAGCTGGTGGATCTCCTTCTCTTGGTTTTCTTTTGCGTGACGCTTATAATGAGTTGACAAAAAAGATTTAAAAATCTTTTGATGGTTGTGATGCAAATACTCTATTAATACTTTTAAGAACAGACAAGCAAATGAAGACGATTTCTTCTTTTCTTTTGAGGTTGATATGGATGGTAGTTTGGTTAGTTTTTTGGAGAGACAAGAAAATGAAGGAAGATTATCTTGCATTTGGTGAATTGCTTATCCATGAGAAGACCTACCGCACCAACAAGTATGACATGATTTGTGGACCGTTTGTAGGTGTTAACTCTCATACTCATAATTGCATGTTTGGTTGTGGTTTTTTGTTGAATGAAAGGATCGAGTCATTTGAATGGCTTTTCAATATTTTTTTGCAATCTATGGGTTCTGTCCACCCAAGACATGTTATGACAGATCAATTTGGTGTCATGGTTGCTGCAATTTCTACAGTTTTTCCTGTCTCCAAACATCGTCTTTGTATATGGCATATCATTGAAAATTCTAAGAAACATATACGTGATTTAAGGAATCAAGAGGGATTCTTGGATTTGTTTGATCATGTTTTGAAGCTTTGTCACACCGTTGCTGAATTTGATTATTAGTGTAATAGGTATGTTTCATTGTCATTATATATATATTTTTTGTTTTTCCACATTTACATTAATATTGTGTTCATGAGTATTGTTCATAACATTAATGAGTAAACAGTTGCGTGAAATGATTATCTGTTGTGTTTTGCAGAATGATATCTGAATATAATTGCTCTGATAATCCTTGCTTAACCAAACTCTATGAGATGAGGGACAAATGGTGTCCAGCTTTTTCAAAAGAATTCTTTTCTGCTTGTGTTTTATCTTCACAACGAAGCGAGACCACAAATCATTCTTTGTCTAGAAAACTGAATGCTACCTCTTCCCTATGTGACTTTTATCATTTTTTAGTGAAGCTACCAGTCATTGGAGAAGTAATGAGGGCAAAGATCATCAGCGTTGTTTGGATGGTTATCCTGAAATTGTCATTCCTCATGTCAGTTTGTTACATAAAGCTTCCAAGCTTTATACGATTGATGCTTATAAGCTTTTTGAGAATGAATTTATGCGAGGTATGTCTCTGAAATTTGAACTTAGATACCATCAAGGTTCTTTAATGGGATATTTAGTATGGATGCCTCAAACGGATCGGTTTTCACATTGGGTTTATTTGATGCAACAACACATTTTGTTAGTTGTTCTTGTCAAAAATTCCCAAAGGCTAGCATTTTGTGTTTTCATATTCTTCGTATATATCATATTCACTGTGTAGAAGTTATTCCGGATTGTTATATTCTAAAACGGTGGACTCGTACAATGAAGTCTCTTCCAAGTGAACAACCTTTTGTTTTAGACGATTCTTCTAATGTATTACCTTCAGTTTGGAGAATGCAAATGCAAAAGAAATTTCACAAGCTTTTGTGCTCTAGTGATTCTAATTCTACAGCAAGGCAATTGTGTGAAGAATCTTTTAAAAAGTTGAAACTGGATGTTGAAGATCAAGTTGGAAGCATTTATTTCTCTGATAGTGATTCTAGCTCAGTTGGTGTGAGTTCAAGAATATCTAATCCAAAGACTGCAAGGAAAAAGGGTGAAAGAAATGTGCATCGCAAGAGTGTTATTGAAGTGAAAACAAATCAAGCTAGAGCAAGGAAAAAGTCACGTCAAGCTAATACATCAGCACCTGAGCACTCAAGTTTATAGTTAGATTTTTCAAATAGCAATGTAGTCACATTGCTATTTAGTCCATAATTTGAGATCAACCTTCAACCTTCGTAATTTATCCATAAGCCCCCTCACACCCCCCCACTGTGGGATAAGCAATCCATTTCCGCCTTACCCAAGAGGTGAAATCCTCATGAGAAAACCACATATTCTGAAAACGAAATTGTTTAGGACCTCCAATAGCATCCTCTTCACAAATCAGAAGAATCGGGCAGTGATCCGAGGGAGTTTTACTCAAGTGTTGAGTACAAACTGCCCCGAAAAAAGAAACAAAACCTTGATTCGCAATGAAACGGTCCAGCTTCTCAATAGCAATTGTTAGACTAATTTCTGTTATTACATTACTCAGCGACTTTGTGTTGATGCTCAAAGTAGAATTTGTTGATGATCATTTGCATATATAAATCCCAAGACTATGTAATTGCTGACTAGTATGTCCAGAGTAAATACTTTTTGGGTTAGACATGTCTGTAATTCTATTACTCAACTTGGTTGTTCTGATGTTCAAAACAAACCTATTAAATTTTCATATATAAATATATATATATATATATTGGACTTACATAAATGATTCGTAAGTTCTCTTTTATTCACTGATCTTTAATTTTATAGTAACTTCTTTTTTATTCATTAATATTTAATTTTGTTTTATCTTATGCTCACAATATTTGGTTTGAGTATTCATTACCTACTTAATGAGCATTTATGTAAGAAATTTTGAACGAATGTACCAAAGTTGATTTCCATATTTACTTATAGCATTTTAACTAACTTACTAATAGTTAAAAATAACACTTTTGAAAATGTTTTTGTTTGATATATTATAAACCTTTTCCACACTAGATTTTTATAACTTTAATTCACTACTTGTCAAATAAAGTATGTATGCATTCAAAATGAGCACGTGATATACTAGTAATGATCATTCACCTAAACGTAACAACATGTACATGAGATTCACCATAATGTCATTAACACAAACAAAACATGTTTGATCTCAAATGAAACCATAGCAGCATACATAACAACATGTCTCAGAGATTCATCACAATGTCATTAACACAAACAAAAAAAGTTTTTCTTTGATGAAACCATGGAAGCATTTCTACTTGAGATTAAACTAAGTGTTTCTTCATCATAGAAGCACTACATTTCCTTCACTTTTGACATCACATCTGCTCTGACTTCATTCTTCTGAAATGTCAACATCTTGTGCAAGTACTTAAACCTCAAGATCTGAATGGGCTTTTCCTGCATGATTATATATGTTAGTATTAACATTCCATATTTTTTACATTTTAGTAAAATAACAATAAATCTTTAATTAGAAAAAACTGGATGTTTTTACATTTTCTTTTTCTAGGCCACACTCCCACCCAATTTCTCCATTAAAAGTTTCCATATGTCTCATAAGGTAGACTCCTTCATTGGCTTTGTTTTTTTTTTGTTTCTCCATTCCATTCTTACTATATTTGGCTTCATATTCTTCACTTTGTCTGCATGTTGATGCTTCTCTTCTTTCAGCCATTTCAAAACATCACTTTTCAGTAAATATAAGCAATTAAACAGTTTCTGTATGAAGTATTAATAAACATTTTGCACAAAAAATATGTTAAGATACTCATTTTGTTTAGCAACTATACTCATTTTAAAAAATAAATAATACAGATTTTTATACTTACCAGTTGGGTTGGTAGTGAAAAGTGCTTCATTTGTATTGATACTTCCCTGTCACAGCTATCAATTATTAAGAACTTCATGTACTTCAAATCAAAGCACATAAGGTAGTAGCTACCATTCTGTTCAGTCGGGAAGATAAACAAGTCCATGTTCTTCACTTTGGGCAATGCCCTCTTGAATTGGCTCTGTGTAGCTTCAATAAACCTCCTGTTTCTAGTTGCTGGAGCACTAAGCTGATTTTCCTCCAATACTCTCTGTAAATCAATTATTTAGGATATTTATTATAAATATATGAATAAAAATACTTATAGCCATAATTCTTACACATGTCGTTGTCGTGAATATCAATCTATTCCTTGATTTAGTGCTTTTGATATTCTCGTTCTCGTTCAAAATCATAGACCATAAATCTATGAGCAGGCTAGTGGACTGACTTTACAGTTGATGTTCAAACTGTTCATCTCACTTCTCGAAAGCACCAGATCTTCTTCTTTGTATAACACAACCCTATTTGTGATTAGCAATGGTCAGCTAACATTAATCAAATACTACAGTCCAATAATTTATTCTTATTCTTATAAATATTTAGTTACTTATGTTTTATCAGAATTCTCGTCAAAGACAAATTGAGCTAGTTTGACTTCTTCAGTAGTTATTCCCGCCTTTATTTCTGTAACCCTTATCACAAATGGTGACTTGAGGGCAGGGGTTCGCTGTTGTAGTCTTTTTTCTTTCACTACATTTTCGTGACATTTACCTTCTTATTCAATACAAACTTGCTTTCCCTTTTCATTCACGCGACTAGCTTCTAAACCCACATTCACTTCTTCAGCTTCATGCTCATGCTCATCAACCCCATGCACATACTAATTCTGATGTTCTTCATGCTCAGGAAAATCAGTATGCTCATTCAATTCTTGTGAAAGCAGTGTGAAGCTGGGCTTTTCATATTATGTCAATGTAGGTCTGTCATTTCATTTTTTTCTGAGCTTTTTCAACTACTTCAACTGCCCTTAAACCCTCCTCAGTCCAGAAGTCATCATCAAGCGTCAATGATATTTCTTTTTGAGATGATTGTGGTTTTGTTGAGTATGTGTTGAAGAGTCCGTGGACTTTTCCCGGCAGAACCTTCATTTTATCATCATCAGGCAACACCTTTGCAGCTTCTTGAAACTTTTCATCAAAGTTTGCTATGCTATCAACCAAGTGCTTTGTTGCTGAAGCAAATTCTTTCATCATATCATGTTTGAAACATATGAGTATTACTAACTCTTGCATTGAGTATTTGTTATTTTATTTTGAGTTTTAAACTATAAACAATGTCATGTCAAATATTTATTATTTTATTTCATATCAACTAACTATTTTTAAAAAAAATATACTTATTTAATTATTAAAAATGTTACCAGTTTCATTCCTGAACAAATTTTAAAATAAGACATTATTTTCCTTACCTTATTTGGCTGCTCATTGCTTTCTCCCACATTTGCCTTTTCAATTTACCCTTCATTTTGAATCAAATGTGGGGTTTCAAGTGTTCCTTGATTTGGTTCATCTATGTATCCAAATCCGAACCCTCCACTTTGTATCTCTTCCTTTTCTCTTTTGTTCACAATCTCAGTTGTCCATCCAATTATAGATGGCAATCCTCTTTCTATTTTTCTTCCTTTGAATACCACATTGTCAACATAGAACACCTGTATATTGTAAGTTTTAAGTATTGTGCATTACATTATACATATTTGATTAGTAACACAACTAATTTGAGCATTGACATTATAAAATTTTTAACTTACAATAAAAAACACAAGAGGCCCTGGAAACTGTCACTCTACTTTCATTCCAGTAGTCCTTTGATTCAATCAATTTCTGCAATGCATAGCTGCACCAATTGAGATTCTGTATTTGTGATTCATCATCCAGGGCTTTGAGTATGCTTTCATTTACAAAGCAGTTCTGTTTCCCTTCAATTAAACAAGTGACAAGCAGAACCAAGAAACTTTTTTTGAACCAGCCTCCAGCTTGTTTGTTTTCCTCCAAACAAGTCCTTTATCACTTGGGAATTGTGATCTCCAATCAGCAACCATCTCTGCTGTTTTTTCACCTTGTTTATCTATCATGTTTTTCACATTCAATTTTCCCTTTGGAAACCCCATTGTGTATTGCAATGTATCTTCATTGATACGCAATTTCTCATTGCTCGGCAAGTTAAGTGACACGCGTCTACTATCAAACTTATCCACAACCCAATATGCCAACTTCATTGGCAATTGCTTGATTTGTAAGTATAGTATTGGGCCAAATTCCATCTCCACCACTTCTGCTTTTTGTTCTTCACTCAGTGTTGTGATTACTTCAGTCAGACTTCTTGGAGACATTCTAGTCCATAGTTTTGGGAGTTTATCATTACTCTCATTCTCTGTTTCCTCATCTTCTTCCTCTTCTTGTTCATATTCTTTTTTTTCTTCAGCTTTTCTTTTTCTGCTTTTGTGCTTTGTCTTTTTCTGGCACCATCTTCTTGCTTATCTCTCCTTGCTATCACTTTCCTTTTGTAGCCAGTTTTCTTAAGTTCATTTTCCTTTTTCTTTTCACATTCTTCTGATGTGCTTGACCTTGTCACTCTTTTATATTGTCTAACATCCTCAGACTCTTTGTGTTGCCTTGAGCTGTCTTGTTGTCCAGTTTTCTCAATGTTCTTGCTTTTGAGACTGTTTTCTTACTCTTCTTTTCATTATTCTTTTCTTGAACCACTTCTTGTTCTGCTTCAATCAAATGTTGTTGCTCATCTGGAACAGTATGTTTCTCAGCTTCTTTTAAAAGATAATCATCTTTATGTTTGTCATCATCATTTTCTTCAAATGATTGATTCTTTTGCTCATCATCTCCCTGTAGATGCTCATGTTGTTCAATATATTGTTCAACATCCACAATTGAATGTTGATGAAACTGTTCATCATCTTTCTCTTGAATTGCATGATGAACTTCATCCTCCTTTTGCTTGGAGCATTCTTCATTGGCCTACCTTTGCTGAATATCTTTGTCACTGATCATCTCCTTTGCACCTTTTGCACTTTCTGTATCTATCTTTCTTTTCTTCTGAATACTGCCCTTCTTTTGCTGAACCAATGGTTTTGAACTATTTGGATTCTTTTTTGATTTTCTTTTTGGTTTTGTATGTAGGACTGGAATCTCTGTTATAGCATTTGTTGGTGGACTGTTGCATTATTAGTTTAAATGAGTAAACACCATATCATGATGAGTATATTAATAATTTTCATGGAACA